ATAGATAGATAGATAGATAGATAGATAGATAGATAGATAGATAGATAGATAGATAAACAGATAGATAGGGAGAGAGAAAGAGAGGGAGACAGAGACAGAGACAGAGGCAGAGAGACAGAGAGACAGAGAGGAGAGAAGGAGAGAAAGAGCAAAGCTGATAGACTCTAATTTCTCAATGTTTTGACATTTCTTTACGTAATTCAACTGACACAAACCCACGAAAGACCAATTAAAAAGTGAATAAACAAGGCCTTTTTCTTCTTACCCACATCACGGTTCAGGTCTGCATGTTCTGAAATACATTTTTGCCACCTCAGAATTTCACGTTAAATCACTTGTGAAGCCAAAGAATCCTTTGCTTCTAAATCTATATCTTATCTTCACGATTTGCCTGCAATAGCGTTTTCTTGCTTTTGCCCTGTTCAAGAATTTTGCATAATTAAGGTTCCTTTTAGCCTGAGCAAAGAATGCTGTGCGAAGATCTATTTATGTTGTATGCCGTTGAATATTGCAAACCTGACTTTTAGTCCAAGTGCACTTTATAAATGTTGTTGTCTCGCGAACGATTCACCTGGCGCAGTCTAAACGCTGCAACAATGAAGTCTATTCAGAAATGAATGAAGAATCCACATCGCATCCTCTGTCACTATGAATGAACGAACAGATTGGTTTTGGGTCCAATCGATGATCGATTTGCCGCTCTTTGCTTATTCCGGTGGCTTACGTCACAGTCCGGCCGAGTGTGGGACAGACCCCTTTCTCTTCCACTCTCTTTTCCTCTCTCGGTATCTGTCTATCTTTCTGTCATTTCCCTCTCTCGGTCTGTGACTCTCTCTCTCTCGCAGTGTGGACTATGGGCTGGGCCTAATGGAATGGTGATCGGAGGAGATGTTTCTAGGCTTTTACATCGCAGCGAGCGTGGTGAGAAACCAGGTAAAAATCTCGTAATGACGTCATCAAGGTTTGTGGTGCGGTTCGTTTTGTTGTGTGAGGGCGAGCGAGAGGGAGGTGAGAGGCGAGAGAGAGAGAGAGAGAGAGAGAGAGAGAGAGAGAGAGAGAGAGAGAGAGAGGGGTGGGGAGGAATAAGGAAAGAAGAGAGGTGGGCGAAGAGGAGGAAAAGGAGCGGGAGCGATGGAGAAGAGAGGCAAGGGGACGGAATAAGGGCGGGGGTGAAGAGTGGAGAGGTTGTGAGAGAGGGAGGGAAGGAGAGAGAGAAAGAGAGACAAAGGGAGTGTTAGAGGAGTGAAAGGCAGAGACAGACAAACACAGAGAGATACAGATGGAGAGAGGATCAAAGGGAGAAAGAGACAGAGAGAAAGAGTGAGAAATAGAGAGATACAGAGAAAGACAGATGGGGAGATAGATAGATAGATAGATAGATAGATAGATAGATAGATAGATAGATAGATAGATAGATAGATAGATAGATAGATAGATAGATAGATAGATATGTTTTTTTAGTAAGAGTTTTACGGCTCTCGCAACTGCATAAGGTCATATGAGCGCGCAGATAGGTAGATAGATAGATAAATAGATAGATAGATAGATAGATAGATAGATAGACACAGACACCGACAGAGATAGAAAAAGAGAGCATAATATTCAAGTCACGAGACGAAATCTGTAAGGATCTGATGGACAAGCCTGTTCACTCAGCTCACGACACTTTGAGAATGCAAGCCACGTAGATCCCGTTAAGACCCACTGTAAAGATCAACCCCGTTTTATTTTATCTTGTCTCAGGCTGAAGATTTTGGGAATGTAGATTACAGTCAAACCTGCTCTAACGACCGCCTGTCCAATTCAATCACCTGTGCCAACGACCACTTCCCACATCCCTCCTTCTTAGCTGTTAAAAAATGTTATAATGCCACTATTCAAGAGGACCATCTGTCTAATAGGGGGTGCCCATTAGCGCGATCGGGTCGGGTCGAGTCGGGTCGAGTCAGCTAGTCGGGTTGGGTCGTTTTTTGGTGGTTTCAGTGCACACTACAACCCCGCCATGATTGTACCCGAAGACTTGGAAGTTAAAGTAGAGAAACCTTTAACCCCAATGGCTTCCAGGGCTCCTTTCCGCAGTTCACTGTTGCAGTGCTGCGGCAGCCTGGAATCCCATAAACATGGTCACAATAGTTACATCGATAACTTTCCATTATCAAAGATCGTTCTTGACAAGACAGTTCAGTTGGCCAAAAAATTGTTCGTGGAAGTCCGTGCATTGGTTCAGATGGTGCTGCAGTCTTTGTTTTGAAGCTCTCTTTCGTTTCTCTATAAGAAGAATAGGAATAGTACACTTTGTTAATGTCGCTTTTATTGTTTTTTACACACAAGTAGGGTAACTCTTTTCGCAAAGTCCGCACTTTTTCGAAGAGGGTACCACCGGACTTTGAGTGTCAACATAGACGGGACTCAGCCTTGTTGTGACTGGCGGCAAAGCACCCGATCGCGCGGCTCGCAGACCTCAAAACAAACGCGTTTGTTTTTGGAGATCACGGACCAATTCGATCGGTTGCGCCCTCAATTTGGCTAGCCCCGACTATCAAATCGACTCGACCCAACCCGACCCCACCTGACCCGATCACGCAAGTAGGCACACCCTATAAGATAACCAACATTGGAAGATCGTCTTGGGCAGGTTCGAATGTACCTTCTCCGTACTGGGAGAAGACAGCATGGGTCCGTCACTTAGAAGAATTGCAATTAGTTAGGTAGAGACAAAATGCTGTAGTTCTTGGGACTCTTGAATCGATGTAAATGCCTTGTATTATGTTCTCAGCGGTAAATCTGTCACGTTGCGATGGAATCAGGAGCTCGTCAATTCGTGGGCATTTGTGAGACGTGCTGATAAAATGAGTTACTTCTTGTAATCCACAAATGGAGATATTGGCCAAAAATCGACGTTAGGGTCAAATTTGTAGATTTTTTTATTGATGCCATATTCTTGACCTATAACCTGTCTTTTATTATTTCATACTTATAAATGGTAAAAATTTCACCTATAAGCATGATGTATCTATTCCTTTAAAGCTTGAATCCGAGAAGTAACTCATTTTGTCTGTACGCTTCACATAATTATGGAGGTATTGATTTCATCATAAAGCCTGTCATTTTCGCCTTGATTTTGATTTTTTAAAAAATACCCTTCAGTTTTGAATAGAAGTCGAGCAAGATACTCGCATTCTAAAAAAGGTGCAGGTCACCTGGTGTGTGATGTAACATTAGCGAGAAAATTAATGGCCGTCAAAGTTTGGGGACTTCCAAAGCTGCAGTAAATCCATGGAAACTGTAGTGAAGAGCACAGGGGAAAAACGACGGTAGTCACAAACTGGAAATTGTGATGGTGCCGATTTAATAGCTTGTGGACTCATAACTTCATATTTGTTTGACTGGTGGTTTATTGTTAAGTGTTGCTGAATGGCAAATCTAACAACAATAATCAACCAACAGCTGAACAGAAATACAGTAATGAGTCAAAAAGTTTTCAAATTTGGTACCTTCACGATTTTCAGTTTGTGACTACCGTCGTTTTCCCCCCGTGGTCTTCTGTTGGTTTATATTTTTGTGTGCCTTTGATCCACGCTTTTCAGTCAACTCCACACATGAATGTATTTTTTAATGGATGTAAAATTGGTTGTGCCAAAAACCCCCCCAAAAACCCAAACCAAAACAAAACTAACTAAAAAACACCCCAGAGCAAAGCAAAACAAAACAAATAAGAATTCGATAAAAATTGCGGAACGGGCGGGAAAATGTTTATTCATTCTTCGATTTCATTATTTTGGCGAGCGTCTGATTTCACTATGATGGCTCACAGTGGTAAGCAACAGACGCAGCGGTAGACTACTGTTGTAGGCCTACATTGTATTGTATTGTAATACGGGGTGCCCACTACAGCTGGATCGGGCCGATCGCCCGACTCGATCGCCTGAAACTGAAAGCAAACACGTTTGTTTTTGAGGCGATCGAGTCGGGCGATCAGCCCGATCGGCCGATCTCATCCGTAGTGGGCACCCCGTAAAATCCGCCCAGAGCCTGTGTACTTTAATCTGGGTTGAGCGCTATATAAAAACCACTACTATAATAATACAATAGTAATAATAATAATAATAATAATAATAATAATAATGATAATAATGATAATAATAATAATAAAAGTAAAAATGATAATAAGAACAGTAATAATAACTGTAATGATAATGTAATAATAACTAAAAACAACTACAACAACAACAACAACAACAACAACAACAACAACAACAACAACAACAACAATAATACCACAAATTTTTTTTATTACGTGACGTGTTTTTCACAAGTTATATCCCCCTCTCCCCATTTTTCCATCTCCTACATTCATGTGGCTGAAAACTACTTAAACTTGTATTGTTCTGTATAAATTACGATACATATGCTCCTTGTGCGGGCTTGCCGTGATATTTTATACCTTGGTGCAATCTTTCTAAACCACCGAAACATGGCAAGGATCACGCAACTGGATCTGAGTATCTTATAGCTATATATCTTATATATTCTTAACTGTAAGATGTCAGCATGTCTTCTGAGTAGACGCGTTTTCTTGTTTTCCTCAGAGGAGGAGATTGAATGAGAGGTAAAGGGAGAGAGATAGAGATAGACAGATAGATAGATAAATAGAGAGAGAGAGAGAGAGAGAGAGAGAGGAAAAGAGAGAGAGAGAGAAAGATAGAGAGATATATAGATAGAGAGATATTGAGGGATTGAGAGAGGGACAGATAAACAGACAGACAGACAGACAGACAGACAGACAGACAGACAGACAGACAGACAAAGATAGGCAGACAGAGACATAGGCAGAAGCAGAGAGAGGGAGGGAGAGAGAGAGAGAGAGAGAGAGAGAGAGAGAGAGAGAGAGAGAGAGAGAGATTGAGAGAGATTGAGAGAGATTGAAAATGAGAGAGAGAGACAGACAGACAGACAAACAGACAGACAGACAGACAGTCAGACAGACAGACAGACAGATTGAAAAGACTTGAAAAACGGGAAAGTCAACAACATCACCTTCAACTGAGTACAAAGAGCGAAAAAGCCCCCCCCCCCCCTAAAAAAAAATTTTAAAAGGAGAAAAGAACAAGACAAACGGTAGAGAGGGAGTGCCCACGATTGACGCAGGACGCATGCGTTCAGCAGCAGCTTCAGCAACAACCATCAATCAAGATGATGATGGTGTCTGGTGAAAGGTGATTTTTCTGAAGTACGGTGACGATGGTATGGACAATCAGCATTTGTGAGACGTGCTGACAAAAAGAGTTACTTCTCAAGCTATCCACAAATTGAAATATCGGCCAAAAATCGATGTTATGGTCACATTTATTGTAGATTATCTATTGATGCCATATTCTTGAATTATAACCTGTCTTTTTTGATTTCCTATTTATAAATCGTAAAAACTTCTCCTATAAGCGTGAAGTATCTTTTTCCTTAAGGCTTGAATCCGAGAAGTAACTCATTTTGTCAGTGCGCTTCAAATTTATCTCGCAAGGAGAAATTTGTCTTGATCGTTTATTAAATTATTATGGTCGTGGTATTACAAGGCACACGTGTACCCACATAATATTATAATTGCATACAACAAGAAGAAAGTTAGTTTTAGTTTTAGCAGAGGTTTTACGGCGCTCGCAACTGCATACGGTCACATGAGGGCCAAGGGTGGATGGCAACAGAGAAGTCTTTACAGGGAATCAGATTTACTCTGCTGACCTCTCGAGCTTCAACAGCACAAAGTCTGCTTCGACTATCAAGGCACCCCGGAAATAGGTGTTCACAAGAGTGTGACAAACATACAAAAGAAGTAGAGGCAAAATGACGATAGTAAGGATAAGGGAAGAAAAGGCAGTAGTTCCCTGTTGTACAATTATGAGCATGACATTGATGAATCATTCCATATACAA